AAATTTGATATCATGGTTAGTAGAGGCTGATCTTCGGATCGGGCGAGCGGGGGTGCTCATAGCTGACCTTCCCCAATCGTACCCAAGTTCCCGAGTCGAGGCAACTTTGGCGATGACGGACACGTGGCCTTAGGCATACGAGTTAGGGTTTCCTAAATTTTTCCCATAAAAAATATTTAGGTGGCGACTCTGTATCTGGCAAAGCAGTCCATGTTTAGCACTTCTTTAAAAAAATCTGTTTTCACAAACGATTTGCCGGATTTGGACTCTTTGGTTCAGATTTAGAACCATAACAATTTGAGAGTCCGAACTGTAGTAAGCCCAAATGAACAGAACGGGACTCCTCCCGGGGCATTCAGGGACGTCTACAAGAATATTTAGACATGTTTTGTTTGATTGAATATAAATTAATTTTAAAAATTAAGTGATAAGTACTTCTTCACAATTGGCTACTATTAGTTATAAAATAATTGAATATAGATATTTTCACGTACTTAGTTCCATTATCAAATAGAAACTCGATATTTATCCATCTAAAAATATTTATATCCAAATTTTATAATTCAAATGAATAAATGAATCATTCTCACATTATGGAAGAGGAGTTGCATGTATGAGTTAAATAGTTGTAAATTTATCAATTCAGTATCTAACAAATTTGTAATAATTTTTATAAATAAAATAAGCTAATTCATAATATAAGTCTCCAAACATATAAATTTATTTTCTATTGTGTTTTTATTATACTTTCTAACATAATTTGGATATCTCATGTTAACAATTTTTTTTCATTTTTTTTTCAAAGATTACATAATTATGTGATTTCATTTTTCCTAATTAGCAATAACTAGTATTATACATAGAGATGGCAATTTGAACCCGACCCGACGGAGACCCGATCCCTCGACCTCGATTCGAACGCGTTTTCCTCGAAAAGTATCCCCATAGGGTCGAGGATGGTATTGAAAATTAAATCCCCGATAGTTTTCGGGCCGGGGACTGGGATAGGTTCCCCCGGCCCCGTCCCAAAATATCCCCGAATAATTCCCCGGATATTCCCCATATATATATATGTATGTTTGAGGCACCTCTCTCTCTCATCACCTACATTCATTTCTCTATTTCTCTCTCTCTCTCTCTGCTCAGCTGCTCCTCACGGTGTCGGCGCCGATCTCCTTCCTCCCATTACCGTCGATCTTCCTTTTGTTGGAAAAATTGGTTTATATAGGCATATTTAGGGCCAACTTTGAGTCCAAAATTGAGTGGGCCCCAAACGTCTTTTGGGGTGGATCCGAAATGGTGAAGTGTTCCTTGCCACGTGGCAAGTCACACGGTGAAGACGGTTCGTCAAAACCATTTATGAGTGAATGGGAACATGATGTCGTTTTCGGGTTCGTGGAATGGACATTTAAGTTTTAAATATGGGTTTCCTTGTGAGGCTTGTCCCACATTGAAACTTTAAGAGAGTTTTG